CGTCGTCATCATATCGGCAAGGCAGTTTCTCATGCATACATAAGGCACATTCATAAGGCACTGCGGCTGCTGTGCTTGGCGACAAGTGCTGATGAGCTTCGGGATTGGAGCACTGAACAATTTCACCAGCACTGCAGGGAAAAGGGACACGTTTTGCCTTAGAGAAGAGACTCCACAAGATCTGACAAGAAGGCGCACGACAGCGTAACCATTTGACCGTCCAAGCAGAGAGCACTCAGTGGACTGTTGCAGCTGTATCGAACTCATCAATTACCACTCAGACCAAGACAATGCCAACTCTCCCTATGACCGGGCACCTTCATTAGCGCAGCTCTCAGTGAAGGTGCAATCAGCACAGGCCGGTGCCGATGGCCACCACTCGCTGCCCTCGCTCACATTATCACTGCTCGATTTATATTGGCTCTCGACCAGTGCACCACTGCTCATTAGCGAGGAACAGAGGTCAACGGAGGAGAGAAGGAGATCGCCTGGCGCCTCCCGGTGGTCATTAGGCGGCATGAAAGGCTGGACAGTGAACTGAGCCAGTGGACTCTGCTGTCCATGTCTCCCTATAGAGCCAAACAAAGGTGGTGCAGCCGGTCAGAGGCACAGTGCTCACCAGTGCCCACTCTCTCACTCCAAGTGTGTGTGAACAATCTTCCACTAATTGCCCACTACTGCTCGACAGTCTGCTGAAAACTGGTCAAGTTAGAGCAAACGAAGAGTTTAAGTGCAGCAGCTAATTTGCATCTGTGTTCAGCGAAGCATGGCCAGTCAGTTTATTATACTGCCATCATTGCTGGTCGTTTGTTTTATAGAGGCCATTGGCGCCCGACTATAGAGTTGCTCATGGTATGTGGTCAGTTTTAGAACAATGAAAACACGCCACACGCTGATCGATTTTGATAGGCAGATCAACTTCTTCCAGCTTTGAGCTAAAATTAATAAAATGCCAATTTATATCAACTTTTACAAATAATTTTCGATTAAAATGATCATCACAAGTTAAAATTTTGTAAAAATTTAATTTTAGTATTTTTTAAATGATTTTATTATAAAACATTTATGATTTCCAAAACTGCATTTTTAAAATTGAAAAATTTTGAATTTTAAGGAGCACGTGACGCCACCTGTTTAATGAATTTTGTAGCTTTTAAAATTGTTGAATTCAAAGATTAGTAACGTTCGGTGTCACCAGGTAGCAGAAGCTGCTTTATAAATCAAATTATTATGTCATGTACTATTAGAAGGGCTCCGCCAGCGGCCAGTTGCCGGCTGCATTGTTTTCAGAGTTTGCCAAATCTGTTTTGATTTTCACTTCAACCTTTTGCTGCTAAAAATTTGTGAGTTTATTGAAGCTAAGATGTCACTACTTCAGAAGCCAAAAAGTGAAATGTCACAGGAGGAGCTGCAGAAGCTCGAAGAAGAGGAGTTCAACACCGGGCCACTGTCNGTTTGTGAGTTTATTGAAACTAAAATGTCACTACTTCAGAAGCCAAAGAGTGAAATGTCACAGGAGGAGCTGCAGAAGCTCGAAGAAGAGGAGTTCAACACTGGGCCACTGTCGGTGTTGACTCAGTCGGTGAAGAACAACACCCAAGTCCTAATTAACTGCCGAAATAATCGCAAACTACTAGGCCGTGTTAAAGCATTTGACCGACATTGTAATATGGTGTTGGAAAATGTTAAAGAAATGTGGACCGAGGTGCCCAAGAGTGGCAAGGGCAAGAAGAAGGCCAAACCTGTCAACAAGGATCGTTTCATCTCTAAAATGTTCCTCCGTGGCGACAGTGTCATTCTTGTGTTGAAGAATCCTCTTTCATAAGGTAGAAAATTTATAGCACACCCATCTCTAACTTGAATACTGTATGTTTTTGAATAATAAAAAATTATTTTTACTTATCAATCATCTAATTTGATTTTTTTATTTCAGGCACCTCATTTTAATATTTTGTCTTTGCTTCACTGTATATTCGAATGCCATTTTACTGGTGGAAACTCCGCCATCAGGTCCTCAAATAAAGAACACTTTCACTGAAAAGATGACCCCAAACTCATCTCACATGACGGTTGCTAGTCGGTTGTAATTAACGCGTTGAGTAGCACTTTGTTTTGTTGTTTATTGGAAGTTTCATGGCCAGTGAAATTCAAAGTCAATGTCGATGGTGTCCAACTGTAATTAGTAGGCTACTAAAACTGACGTCAGGGTCTCTTCATTTTCCCTCCTAGCCAAGTTTCACTGACGACTAATGTCATCGCCAATTGACAATTGGACAAGTCCATTGCGTGCCTACTTGCAGCAATAATTCATCTGTGACGACTCTGCCGGTAAGAGCGAAAATGAAATCACTTTTAATTGACGATCACTCATTTTAGATCTTTGCAGGTAATTATCGCAAGTTAATGTCACCTTGGAAAAGCCTTAAACTTCAACTTGAAATTTTACCCGCCAATCAACAAGACTCATTTCTCGTAGATCGCCTTACATTTCAGTGGCAACTTCACCGTTTTCCACCACTGGATGGCATTATCGTTCAAGGGTTTGAACAATTATAAATTCATGACCAGTTTCGCTGTCTTTAATCAACTTATTCTTTGTTACTCCATTAGAATACCTATACAGTCATTAGCAGGTTTTGAAAACTACCGCCAAACTAATGATGTCTCCTTCTATTGATGCACTGTGGTGTGGTAGTCGTAGCTGGCATCATCTGATCGGAAGAGGCGCCATATTGTCTTCTCATTGTGCCAGCAGACATTGTTGCCAGCAACACAATTGACATTGGGCGCGCAAAAACCTTGGTTCAGCATCAAAAGAGGCGCTCATTTTAGTTGCTAATTGCAAAGTGAGTGTGTATGGGTAATTGTGTAATTGTTTTGAAGGCCTGCCTGGTTCATGTGTTTGTTGGTTGCTGTCGACAGTTGACTCTTTCCCTACCGTCTGATGGTGATGGCAAGCGCAACTAGCACCATCATCAAAGGCATCATCATCAGCAGCATCGGCATTCATCCATGCACCTTACCCTGTGGCACACTTGTCTCCTCAGCACGTGTATGTTTGGCCAGAGTGTGCCTGAAAGACGACGACGACGTCAAGCAAACACATCTCTCCCCCGTTGGCTCGCTTGGTCAATCATGTCGGCCCTAATGCACTTTCCCTATTGAACTATTGATTGCCTTTCTGCATCGCACTGCAGCAGCAGTGCATGTACACGATGATGCACTTTATGATTTATCGTTTCACTCTTTCGCTCTCTTCAACACCGGCACAGTGTTTGTTTTAGACTTACTCTGCACACAACTGCGTCGCAGTGTACCAATATTTCGTCTCGGATTAATGGCTACCGGTACGAGTGTGATGATGTTGCAGTTGTGCCGACATATTGAGTTCTACTCTCTATTCAGTTGACCCACTACTTTTCATTCTCTTTTAGAAGTCCTTAATTGAATCGAAAGTTTAGGGTCGCTCTCTTTTTCGGTGCTGTTTCCTGGCTAATCGTCAATGCAGTAGTGTGCTCATTAGCGCTAACCTCATGCTTACATTATGGGCACATTGTCACACCAGCACTGGCGAAAGGCTTTCTTTCTTTCTTTGAGCGAATTAGGGGCATTTGCCACATTGAATGGCGTCTGCTGTACACCGCAATGGCAATGGCGACTAAATCGAGTAGTGTGTTGTGTGTGTTCTTGCAGCGACTAAATGCGATTATTTCCCTTCGTTTGCCATTCGCCTGAGCAGCAGTGGATGGGCAATGTCAGTGCTCTGCCACTGTCCTCCGCCACTACTGGATCAGCGGCCGGTGTGTGGTGGTGGTAGTGATGGTGGTGATGGTAGTGATGCTGCTGGTTAAACTTTGATTCAGCTCTGGGAACTGAGTACTGCGTCTTAGGCCTAGCCTTCATCGGGCACTTGTCAGCGGGCATCAGTATGCGCTATCAATCCTTTCCTTGGGTAATCGTCATTCTGGGCACGAGTGCTTCCCCTTTCTCTGTCCCTTCCTTGGCTCACTGCCACCCGTATTTGTCTAGCTAATTGAATGGCAAACTAGCACCAGTTTCTCTCTCTCGTTAGCAGCAGTCAGATTACACACTCTACCCATCAACTCGAAAGGCTTATTGAGCCTGTCCATTTGTCGCATTTTGCGCTGCATTACATTCGCCAACGTGATGTTGCTGTTGCTGCTGCTGCTACTGCTTGCCAGAGCTCCTGTACCAGCTCGGTGTGCTCGGTGCACGGTCAATTAGGCCAACGGGAGGACGAAAGGATTTATTTAATTATACGATTAGGCGCATTACTTTCCTGACAGACGCTCTGCTACTCTTGGCTCCAGTCTTCTAGACACTGTCAGAAGTTGATGAGCAGGGAAAAAGATTAGCTTTATATTCTCTAACATTTTTGTCTGAATATTATTTGATAATACTTGCAAAAGCACTGCAACTACTCTAAGCAAACTACTCTCTGAAAGATGCTGGTGGGCTACTGCATCTTTATTCTGGCATGGCAACTTTGATGAACCAAAAATGCCTTTGTAGTTGGGTGAATCAAGTTTAGAAAGGCAGAGCACTAAACCTCCAGACCCGATATATAAATTTTGGGCGTGAGTGCTGTATGTGTTGGTGTTGCCATCTCCACTTGATTGGACCACTAATTGATTTGGTCAGAGCTATTAGTGTGAAAGAGCCCGCTGGTGCGACCAGTGTGCGGCACAGTGGCTCGGTGGCCTGTCGTCCCTCTCGACCCTCGTCCCACTTGACTTGCCTTCCTGCTGTGTCTCGCCTTTGCATCGATTGTTCTTGCATTGATCGACTGCCAACGGCAGTGAATGAGGCAATGAGTCAATGAGCAAAGTGATGGGTGGAATTGTCAAACTGTTCCTCTCACAGTGAAAGAGGAAATTCTATTCACTTTCCAAATTGACATGCTGGCGATGCATCGTCAGACCTTTCGTGTTCAGTGTCGCCACACAGTGTCACTCTATAACTGTGTCCTTTCCTTATAGCCTCCTTTCAATAGATTCACTCAATTGACTGCTCTTGCCATTACCGGTGCCCTTCTGAACTGCTGCTCTAATCGGCGGTGGTACGTACCGCACAACAGGCACAACTGAAACGTTTTGTGTCTCCAGTGCATTGGGCGATTAATGAGAGCCGAGTAGAGATGACAACTGGGTGGCACAACTGGTGAATCAATTCACCGAAGAAGCTAATGATGACAGTTTGTGGCGATTGACAGCACCAACACAGCAAGTGTGTGTGTGGCTCACTGGAGCATCAGTAGGTAGGGACTGCAATACTCCAGAGGAGTTTGCCCACACATTTGCCTACATTTGTTTTGTTTGTTTGTTGTTGTCTCATCTCGTTGCCTAATGAGATTAGAATTCATTTCGGCTCACTTGGCAAGATGTCACTGTGCAGTGTTTGCGTTGTTGAAGAGTACGATTGACTACTCTTCTGGTAAAAACTCAACGGTCACTGTGACGATAGTCCACTCACTGTGGCCCATCCAGGCTCATCCCTATCTCAAGTTAGTCAACATCGCTCATTCGCACCAAAGTCAGTCTGCATGACTTGACAAATAACTGGGCTTTACTGCAGTAAGTACTAGTGTGCAGTCTGCAGTAGCAGTTGCGGCACTTGGCTTGCAGCCACCGAGTTCCCGTTTTTCGGTAATTAAATTGTCCTTCTTTGTTGGTGCCACTAGCAAACAACTATCTGTGAGCATACAAGTCAAGCCCAGTGAGCGACAGTACTCTGCGCACAGACAAATCAATTACAATTGCGTTCCAATAAAAAAGTATTAACTCAATGGCTGCAAACAAGCAGGCGACCGACCCGAGCGAGAGTGAGAGAGAGAGAGGCGCGTTTGCCAGAAGACAAAATGAGAAGGAGAGGACTGTGAGGAGCGGAAACACAGCCGAATTAGCTACTGCTTGGCGGCAAACGAATCGCTTCTGGTAGTGACAGTGTCTGTTGACAAAGGCACAAACGAATTAACTTGCCCTCCACCGCCAGTGAGCCAGCACTGAGCTCGATGGTGCTCCAACGATGGAACAAATGTAAATTGGTTCTTTTTACTGCCACTTTTTTGTGGTACTGCCAATCGATTCTCTCACTTGGCCATTTTTTCACAGCAAGTTCTCAAGCAACTTTTATTGTCGTTTCTTTGTAATATTTTGGCGTCAAGTGTGTTGGACTGCTTGAAAAAATGTGTATCTTTTTGTCGATTTATTCGATGACAGTCTCTCTTTACCGTATCGATTGACCTCATGAAATTTAAATTATTTAGCCTCTGGTGATGTCTGCAGTATCTTCCGTTTTGTTGCAATGTATTTTGTACTTGTTATCTGCTATCTTCATTTGCATTGGAAAACATGGCCAGAAGGAGCGTCAGAAAAACGCCACTGGTGCCGCTCTATGCAGTGTAGCTTTACAGATCCAATTTCAGTATCCTCTTTACTTTTAATTTATACTTAAATTTGCATTTAAATTACCAATTGACACTGCATGGGACTGTACTTTGGTCACCTGATTCATATTTTGTCAATACTACGCAGCGTTTTTACCGATTAGCATCACAAATGCTGGTAATGAGATTGCAGACATCGAGGAGAAGGTGCCCTGTTGAGGAGGCGGCGGTTTTCTACAGAGTTCTCTACACTGCCGTCGACTGCAATAAGTTAATTTGCTGTTGGAGCGTGTAATTAATTAGCATCAACACTGACATGGTCGGCAAGCATCCGAGCAGTGAGCTTGGCCCCGATGACATGAACACTGCCATTGTGCTACTGCTCTCCCGAAGAGCCAAGTAAAACGAGTCTTTTTTGG